TTGTGAAAGGGTCAACTCCATTCAGAGTAGCGAGAAAGTCTTAACACACCGCATACTAAAAACAACATGTAATTAAATTAATCCCAGCACTACTCCTTTTGGAGTCAGTCAGCCAAAGCTACTACAGTCGAGTGGCGAAACAAACAAACTCAGAAGTGTGCCGAAGACCAGAAACCTTGACCTCGGAACGAAGAGACAAGCACGAAGAAATCGAATTGGTTTATACTAGCTCGTAAAAACTATATTGGATCAGGTTAAAGTAGAATGTTTCAATATTTAAAACTGCAGCGACAAAATTTAGCCCGGCAATAGCTCGACACGGCAGTCTAAGTAGCATTTTAATGTCTATGCTTTAGTATATTTGCCTGATATCCTTTGGGATTTGTGGATTGCACTTATTTGAGTTTTGTTAAAATATTTTCACTTTCGTAAACGTTCTCAAAGGGAACTGGTACCATTAGTCGTAGTATTAAATTCTGTCTAGTGCATGAGTCTAACTTGTGTAGTTTATTCACCAATGTCTTCTGAACTGTTGTGTGGACTAGAAATACTTAATTGAGGGTCAGGACTAAAAGTAGGCTCGCCTATTTCTTTCCTACATAATGATAAGGTATAAACTTTCCATTCTTTCAGCTCAGGGAATGTAGAAAATTATTCGGCGTACTAAGTCACTTTCCTATTCTCTCGTCTTTGCACATATATGTACAATGTACGCTGGTTATACCATCTTAATAATAACAGTATCTAAAGCACTGAGTGGATTACAGAATTCTATGTGGATGGGTAAAAGACACTGGAGTTTTCTGCAACTGTCCAGTTGTGACTGGTATGAATCAGCCCTTTTTGTTACCTGATCGATCCATTGTTGAAAGAAGAAAAATACTAGATTAATTTGTGTCGCCGCCTTTTTGTTGTAATTGATTCCCAAATTCAAGCACCTAAAACAATGTGTCATTTCCTCCGAATCGAGCTGAAGCGCTCATCTCGAGTTTCTGTTATGGGTTGTCCACCGTAGTTTATTATCGTTGGATAGTAGCAAAATGGCAGTTCTTTTTCATATGGAAAGACGAGGTCATCAAAAAGTTCTGACAGGGATTTTGCTAACCACCGGTTCTTGTCTAGATACTATCACGTTAGCACTAAAGAGCGTGTGGGCTTTCCTGGTGAACTTATGCAAGACAGTTTTCCAATTACTCAGTGAAAAGTAGATGATTGTCCATAGCCTTCACCGATTGTTGAAGGACTTGATTTTCGGCACATCTATCCGATTTCCTTTTCGTACGAGGTTGCTTTACTCCAAGTCTTCAGCAGTCGAACAAAAGGTACTGTCGAGATGTTTGGTCTTGAAAGTATATGGTACTTATCAGGGTACTCCTCGAACTCACGCAGCCATGCACGAGCTTATGGAATGTATTCGTTTGAAGTGATAACCACTGGTGGTATCTTCTCCGAATATATCCACTTTTTGATTCATGTCATCACAGGAGCACTACTGGAGGTTAGTCTACGCGAAATCTACATCTCAGGGAAATGATAAATGCTAAGAAGTGTCGTCGATAGACCACATGCATATAATGCAGTGCTTCTAGCTGGAAACGCGGACTAAATGGCAACTCCTATATATATCTTGGTGAGAAATCTTAGTATGTTTGTTATGTGGTCCACTTCTATTACAACTTATAAGATGATGCCGTAAGACTGGCCTGCACCGACTTCCAGCTTAAACATAGGGGTTTGCATCAGTACGGACACAAGAGGCTGGTGTGGGTGGCGTTTTCCAACTTATATCATCTGTGGCGAAAACGTCATACCTAGCTGTCGATCGCCTTCCTCGACGAGCGATGTTAGTCGGCATAGTATTAGGTTGGAAAGGGGTTAGGTGTAGTCGAACCAAAACCTGGGAGCAGTCCATGAAGTCTTTGACTGTGGTTGGTTTGAGCTAGCCACGTAGGGAAGTACAAGCTGCCTACTTGGTTGAGATGCTCAGGATGCTAAGAACCCATGTCTGGAGACTATTTGTGGTATGTCACACGGTCGTTCTCAGTAACACAGATGCATTCACTCTTTGTGATTGGCCATATCGACTAAGCCGTGCTACTATTCCAGTTTTACTCAAATTTCCGCTAATTGTAGTCCCTCGGACCTCTTTATTTTCTCTCTTTTGTCTAACTTTGTGTGCTACAACACGGAGTGCGTCAACTTGAACTGCTGAGCCGCTGTGCTCACTCAGTCCCATGTTAAAACAACTCGGTTGGTTGATTAAGAAACCTACTTCTGAAGTGTGTACACCACATTGAAGCTCTGGCTGTGCAAACTGCGCTAGCGATTTCAGTTCACGAGAGAGTTGTCCACGTATCTGGTTCTATGAAGCGTCATTCATTATATATTAAAACCTACATTATCTTAGATTGTTTTGTTGAAGCAGTTATAAAAGCCTCCTTAACCAATACGTTAAGACCCTAATCACCAATGTTTGCTGCATTTAAAACACACACAGGATTCAATCGCCTTAACGATTTTCACAGCTCTTAAATCAGATTTCTTGTTAACATATCGTTAGTGAAGAGTATCGAATAACTTCTGGGTGTAGTGTGTGATTCCACACTTAAAGTTATGTCAGTTTTACTTTGTAAAGTAGAGTAGGATGACTTGCATCGCCAGAGTTGTTGAGTTGATTACAACTGTTGAAAATGTCAGATAGATAATGACCTGGAACTACTACCACGTTAGCAAAGTTAGTCAAACTTCCTCGTAATCAACAGTAGTTATAAGCCTTCAATTGTCTGTCTGATGCAATTGCTTTAATCGAGGAGGGTGAAATATAAAGTGAATGAGAAAAAGTTTCCGAACCGAAGACAAGAAAGACATCAGTTAACGAAGACGCTGGCAGCTAGTCCGAGCTGTGTACTTTGCTGGACTGGAGCATACTTGGCCACAAACTTAAGGGATTTAACAGGCTCACTAATTATCTCCGTCCGTCTTAATTTATTTCAATTTACCGCTAACAGCTTGTATCCTAAAACACCTTGTCACTACTTTCAAGCTGATGTGCGAATGTGAGGTTTAGTCACTGCGCTCTACCGCAACATTCTCTTGATAATAAATACCATATTCATAACTTCCCTTACTTGTAAAGATCACGAGAAACCTCCCCGCTCAAAGTCACACTACACATATAGAGATCGTAGTGATACATATGAGCTTTCACGGAAACATCGGGATCGCCACTACTATCATGATTACTACGGAAGAGATGTGGATAGAGACCGGCATCAACACGATAGAGATAGAGAAGAGGGAGATCGAGATGGCCGAAGAGGGCATGAACTGAACCACGGCGAAGAAATGTGGAAGCGTCGTTCACGTTCTAGGAGTCTTGCAACTAAGACGGAGACAGAGGCTGTGGTGTATGTGGAAGGAATCAATTTTCGTTGTATAACCACTTTAGTTTTCAGAAACACCAGCAGAACCTGAGATTGAGGAAGAGGCAGAGATTATGCGAACAATGGGGTTTTGCAGATTCAATACAACTAAATGGACACGTGTAGTTTGCAGGAGTATCTAGCTTGAAGGATAATCTGCACTAAAGCCAATCGAGTCCGATCATCTTTGTACAGCTCGTCATCAACGGTGTCACAGAGCTCCATCCTAGGGCCACTTATGGTTATTATGTTTATCAGTGACCTACCATGCCGTCTAATCTACCCGACTCTTCTTTACACTGATGACCTAAAGATTTGGAGAGCAAGAAAGTGATCGGAAGACTCAGGTGAACTGCAGGCAGACCCACAGCTTCTGGTGCTCTGGCGATTAGTCCTTTATCTTTTTTTCAAAGTGAAATTTCAGGAGTCTGCAGATTATGAATATTAGTATATCCAGTGGTTGGGTTGGAGTATCCTTCTTATGGTTTCTTACCGAATGTTGTTGGTTTGGTGTGATCAGATGGAGCCCTGTATGAGACTGTGTCGAGATAGAAATGTTTCGTGCTGTTTTTGCTATCCGGATATTCGAATTGTGGGACTGTGCCAGGGCGACAAAGTGGGAAAATGTACCGGAACCACGAATACAAGGGTTATTTCGAAATTCAGATGGCTTTGGTACCCGTTTGTCACAACATCAGTGCATCCATCGCTTGCGAAATTTGCAATCAAATGCTGAATCAATTTGAGAACTGACAACACCAGAGACCTGGCTGCCGCTTTAGAAGAAGACGCTTTCTAGGTCTTATGACATCTTGAGCGTTATGTTTTTGTTTTGCTGTGTGTCACACACTGGCTTCCAACGGAAATAAGTGCAGTATCATGTCCACTTAGTTTTGACTGTGCCGTTTCAGTGCCAGACTTTGGTAATGTAGACATTGTATCAGAAAAGGGGAGATGTACATGGGCCTCTAGAATCGGTATTCGAGATGGAGTTGATGTCCCTGGGTTATCGCCTCCTCTGGCTGAAGCCCTAGACACTTCAAAATATGGTGTCTTAGTGCTTTTTTCAAGACTACTTTCAACCGCCATATTAACAATTACTATAACTTATGCTTACACATGAATAAGAGGTGGCAACAGTGCCTGCTCAATAGAACAAGAACAAAAGGATCGATGACGTACAAAATAGGGAGAATGAAAGTTTCTCGACTTTACCTAGTACATTTTGGTTACTCGGTTGTTTCACAGCAATCACGTGGCAGACCAACAAGTCCTGTTCATCTGAACGAGTGAGGAAGATGCTGCAACAGACATAGCACCTGAAGTTTTTGAAGTAGTTCGAAACATTTGAACTTACCCAACAGAGATTTGGTATGGAAGTAATGATGGAATTCAATTCACCGGCTAGGAAGATCAGGTTTCTCACGCGGATAATTCACAAAATAGGTAGTTTCCGGTTAGAGAGAAAATTGAACGGTGGTACGTTTCTGTGAATTTCCTTTGTTAGTTAATTTACCTGTGAAATGTGCAAGTAATCATACTTGCTGATCGTCTTTTTAAAGTTGATTTCCAGAATTGATGGTTGGTGAGTGAACTGTGATTGCACATAATCATAATTCACCTTTTATTTTCACACAGTTGTCTAATGACCCATTTTTTATCTAAGTGTTGTAATTTAAACGTAATACGTTTTATCTTAATTTCGATTTCTCATACTTCCTTTTCGTTATAATATTTGAACATGAATAAAATACACACCTGTCGTTTTCCATGATTAATTCAATGTAATATATATGCTTAATAATCTTATATCTCCCAATGTATTTCAAGTAGTATAAATATATATTCTTTTATGTAGAGCATTCAGTTGATGAGTTCTACTGGAATTCGGCGAATTCATTAAATCCTGCTTTATTAACCTTAGTTGCTTGTTATACATTCGTATCAGGAAATAAATATTTCCAATTATTGGTAATTACTCACGACAATTTACTCTCCTTCGGTGGAAAGTTCATTGTCCATTTTCACTTAGAAATGCAATTATTTTCGCTACAACAACTTCTCTCATGAAAGATACGTCTAGTCAATTGGTAGCCATTGATTCGGGATTATGTTAAATTCGAAAAGAATCAATAATAACCAGATCAAGACGTACCGACAATCCACTGAATCAGTAACTGTCTGACCGACTTGTGCAGAGAGGTGTACATTATTAAGCTAACGATTACGAAACAATCAGACTGTATAATCCGGCTCATTGAATGATGGTCTAGTTCACTGAGTTATGTCCATTCAAAACTTGACTTCATTATACTAGCGATGTCATATTTCTACATTCTCTCTCCTTATAAAATTCCACGATTTTTAATTTTCTCTACGTATTGCTATGCCGCTTGATTTCTTGTTTACCACTTATAGTATCAAGAAGATTACAAACTGTGAAGTGAATAATTTTGCTTTCCAAAACAAAACCTGTGGTCACTTCTTACTTAGAACTGAGTGATTCTCAAATTGAGAATTTGATTCTTTGTGTTGTCAGTTTGCCCAAATGACCAGACAGAATTCGAATGGTTCGAAATGAAACGACTCTCTGATTGGAATCAATTTGCGTAAACCTGATGATGAGCTCCACCCCTAAAACAGCTGTCCACTCATGAAATCACGTCAATCTACCTGACAAGCACTACTGGTCGACTTGAATGCTATTCAACTATTCGTATCAATCGTAAGAGAATATATACTGCTTTGTTTTCGAATTGCCTTTTCGAGTGTTTGAATAGACATGTGGTGTAGCAGCTCAGACTTGTTGGACTAATCTTGTCAATATGTCCTTTTTATTATGATTCCTTTACTTTCCCAGTGGAAAATAGGGGGCTTCGAGCTGGAGGCTTGAAGTTTCGGTAGCAGTGGTGTTTATTTTTACGGGATGGGGTTGCTATCTATCCTCATGCCCAAGCTTCCCTCTTTGCCGGTCCTACTGTCGGCTTAGTGAGGTAAAGGAGTGCATCGGTGGCCAGGGATCGAACTCCGGACCACATGAGGCGTGGTTGGCGAGCATTGTGTAGCTGTACCACCGACGCATATATCCTTTTTACCGGATATATATATGTATATTTTCACCCTATTGCATTCAATTACTTAAGATTGTTATCCCTTTTTATTTTACAGGGAAATCCGATTGTCCATTTTACGCACGAATTGAATTGTTAGCAGATAAACTAGCCTTAAATCTACCCAATTTTAGAGTTACCAAGATTGTTAAACAACCAAATGAATGGAAAGTATGTAAATTATATTTTGTTTAGTATTTACTAAACAAAATAATAATAATTATTATTATTAACCAATAGGAATTTATTAAATGGATTAAAGAAACGCATGGTTGGTCGATAGAACAATCACCAGTTGTCTGGAGAGAATTAGTCAATAAAGGCGGTAAAGGCATTTTAATCGGTGGAGCAAATGAATTTCAAGAGTTGTTAGCTGCTTATTATGGTGAACAATGTTCAATGCCAACTGAAAAAATCTTACAGATTGTTGAAGATAATATCCGATATAAAAATGAAGAAGATGAAGAGAAGAGAATAGAAATTGCTAATAGGATACCTTCAACAGGGATTTTAATTATTGGTGCATCTACACCAGCGACTAAAGAAATGCTTGGTATTATTATGAATGAGAAAAAATTCACTGACGGTTTAATCGATTTATACTTACATGATGTAGTGGAACGTCATTATTATTTGTATCATTTACAAGAAATGCTTCAAGAAGGAGCATTTGCTAAAGTCAACAATATCTGCGTGCTTGATGATAGTGATGAATGCTTGTCAATTGTGAAACAAGTGATTATTATGGATGTGGTCCCACGAATATGCTTAAATGCTACAAATACTGACAGAGAAGAGGAGGAGGAGGATGTCTGGGAGTCAAGAGATCAGTGGTTACGACGAAGATTTTTATACTTTAATAAACTTGGACAAAAGATAAAAGAAAAATGTCAGAAATCAGTACGCATTTTAATAGCTGGTTATCCAGGTTTAGGCAAACTATCTGTGCAAACAGCATCACCTATATGCTTTGATTTGACAGCATTATATAAAATTGTGTCAACAAAAATACCATCATCTCAGATAGTTGGTCTAGTCAGACCAATTGAACTACGCGTAAAAGCTACAATAGCTAAACACTTGAAAGTACGCACATGTGATGTCACTGATCTTGTGATCTGGGGCAATGCAGGTGGTTCAATGTTTGCAGATCTTTCGCGTTGTTGTGTTTCTTGTAGAACAGCAATGGGTACAGGTGTTGTTGGTGGATGTTTTCTTCGATTTCCGGTATTAACTGTAGCTGAAAATCCAAAATGGTTAACCACGGAATTATTAAATGTTGCTTTTAAAGAAAGCAGTATGAAACATGGATTAGTTCATGGGAATGCTATAAGTGATCTATTGAAAGAATGGTGGAGTGTTAATCAAAATCGAAATGGACAGATTACCTCACTTGTTATGATATCAAATGGTGGTAAGATGATAAAACTGTTAAATATATTCTGCTTGATTGTGACTAAATAATTCTTAACTGGTCTAAACGATCTATACAGACCGTTGAAAAAAAACAAATTTCAAGGAAATACATTTAAGCTCAAGTTTGTCCACGGATTGGTATCAGTTAGAGAACCAGGGAGTACTGGACAGCTGTTTCGTCAGCCTTGTTTGGGACTCTTCATCTGTATGTACACACCAAGGTTAGAACCAAGGATTTTCCGGTTACAAGCTAAGGTCGTAGACCATTCAGCCCCTGGGACCCAACTCAATAGTCCATAAATTCCACCTTGTATCATTTCGTGATTTTAGCGAGACCACCAGCCAGTGTCATCAGCGAGTGTTCGTCCTCACTCCCAACCGGATGGACCCCACTGGTCACGACTTCTCACTAGAACTCTAGGCCATTTCGTCCTGTGGTGGCTAGTCACTGTCGAGCATCAGATTAATTTTCAAATGTTAGTTTGTAGGGATTCGAGTTATAGATCTACGAGTTTGTCTTGTAAATAGAAGGTCCTGGATTCGAACCCTGGTAGTGGGTGCTTACGGCCGATCAGTCCGGAACTAAGAAGAAGCATAAATCCAGTATTCCTTGCTGGTTTTCAATGATTCTCTAACTGATATCAAGCTTGAAACAAATCAAATCTTCACAAGCCAACCCTTGAGGACATTTGAATTCGCTCAATTTGATAAATAGGTGAAAGTAGGTGGCGAATGCATGACATCACTTTGATTTGTAGTCACTCCTCATGTATATCCTGATTACGGAGACACTTTGCTTCCTATTCAATTACTTGAAAGATAATACTTTGAATAATGGAAACTATTTTAAGTTATAAAAGGAACAGTGAATACGTCTTTCCCTTGCAGGGGTTTTCGCCATCGCGAAACCACAACTGTGTAGCAGAAGTCGTAAACGATGATTCACTCAGTTGCACCCGAATGATTGAGCGAACTTCCACCTCCAGTAATCTGAATGCTTTCACTTGTGTCCTTTATTTGGTCGGAGGTACACACTACCGAACTAGAACAAAAGACACCTACGCATTACTTTTTGTTTTACTTAGTGTTTCTTTAGTGGATACTGGCTGATTGCAAAAGTCGATATGGAGACAGATTACCAATGAATTATCCTTTATTGGTGATGATATGGTGATGAAGGTTAGTCCGGAAATAAACCAGTCAGAATTGGCCTGTGTAAAATAACACCCACTGTCTTATTGATTATGATTACAGTGATTGGTCATATCCTTGGTGATTTTTTTTTTCATAAAATCATGCGTTATTGTGTGAAATATATTTTTCGGCTCACGTCGTTGATTGTTCTCGCTTAAGTCGAGCGTGTCAGCGAACAGGTAGTTGTCGTATACTGTCGTTGTTGGCATAGTCAAGAGGTATTTATGACGAGTGTGTCCGTGTCTAACTTGGCTTCTCTATTTCATCTCAACGTATTACGAAATACAACAAAAGTCTACCTTGAAACGTATCTGAGGCCGTCAGATATTCAACATATGAATGTTTAAGTATTTACTGGTGGTAGTTACGATTTATAAGCCAACACTAAAATGTTAGTACTAATCTATCCACTGTTGATCATAGAGCGTTAGGTTAGTAGTCTGTCTGTCTGTTTTCGACTCGCCACACTCCATGTAGCACAGAAAGCAAGAGAAGAAATGCAAACTAGAGACAGTAAACAGAGGTGTGAGACGAAGGAATAGTAATAACAAGGAACAATATAGTTTCATCTGAAATCATAAGTGACAAGTAGGGGATACATCTGCGCCAACCATTGGGAATGATTTTGAACCATGTCACCAATTGTTTCCAACCATTGCTTTATACCGTCCCGAGGACCCCAACCTGGAAGTCTACACCTTACTGTTGTGGATTTCATTGACTGATGAGGCCATGTTTTGGTTTGACCACCACTGGCCGGCTCCTTTACAACCTGATTATATGTCAGCTAACATTGCCCATTGTCGAGGAAGGTGATGACTAGGCATACGTAACACATGTTCTAACCATCTCAATCGATGTAATTTCACAGTCTCGTCGATTGGTTTCCCCTCCTTACCTAGCACTCGACGCCTAACCTCAATATTGCTCACCTTAGTATACCACTTTACACGGGAGATAGAACGCAGGCACCTATGATCGAAGGCAGCTAATCTTTTCATGTCTTCCACTCTCAATGGCCAGGTCTCACAGCCACAGGTTAGTAGGCAATAAGCTAATATTAACCCTCTCGATTTTCATTACATTGAAGGTTCAGTCTTTCCTTGAATAAATCAACATAAAGTGTTGATGCACAGTGTGTGCTTCAGGAGAGATATTCACTGGTTCATAATTCAATGTGGGGAATAAACTTCTAAACAGATTGAGAAACTTAGTAGTAGTTATTGAATTCTAAGATGATTCTTTCGTAAGTGATCGACTATAGAGAAGAGAAATAAACGGAGAACACAAATTAGCATTGAGATAGTGAGTGCTAAAATTGAGGTGTCACACCCTACAGTCACCGGTATCATTGATAAAAGTAGAAATAAATCTGGTCGATACAATTTCTCTTATGCGGGGGTGGGAAATAACTATAGAGATACGAATTGTTTCAAGATGAAAATGCATCTTTTTTTCTCCCACCTAATTTCAGACTGGTATGGTGTCCCAAAAGGAATTGCATTTTCATATCCAATTATTTCTACTGGGAATGGTAATTGGTCCGTTGTAGAAGATATGCCTATGACACCTGAAAGTGAAGCTCAGCTGAAGACCTGTATTCAAGTGAGTGGTAGATTTGGCTTTTTTTAAAAATTATTATTAAAATCTGCCTAAAATTATTAGTGGAGATATTGCTTATAAGTTGAAACGCTCGACTTCTAGCCAGTGGGTCCCATGCTCCTTGAATTTCATTGTAAATATTCCCCCCACCTAGACAACTGAGTATCATTATTTTTCATGTTTTGCACCCCCTTCCTTCTACCTTTTTGTGACAGTTTGAAATGCAGCACTCTCGCGCAAACTTCTAGGTTGAAACTTACTCAGTTTAATAAAGTATAAAACTTGGGCACTGTGGTAGAGTATAACTCCATGATGGTTAAGATTTTATTTTGATAAATCACACAGTGTTGTACAGTTATGTTGACTGATGACAACGTTTCGAGCACAAACTATTGCCACTCATAATCATATCAAGTTACTCACACAACTTCTTTCCTTCATTTATATACATGTGTGGAATCGATTAGATATTGGAATAAAATTCAATATGAGATAATGTGCATTCAGAAATAATAGTACGAGCGTTATTAATCCATTACAATTAGATGGGAAATACGACGAGTGCTTTTATAGTCATAATAAGTTGATTGTTAGAATGTTATGATGTGCTTGAATGGAAATAGAATTTTGTGATTATTTATCATCCTCTTCTGATTTGACCGGCGGTAATAATATTGTGTGGTTGTTTGTTAATGCATGCAGGGCAGTTGCTGAGCTTTTTTCTAAATTACTTATCTTTTCAGGGTCAATCGGTTTTTCCTTTAGCTAAATTCTTATGTTCTGATACTCTCACTATCCCTGATCTACTAGTTTGTCCTATGTAGTTGACCTGACTCACAGTCATTGCAGGGTATTTTGTAAATTATATTATTTTGTTTTGGCCTTTACTGATCTTCTTAATGAATTTTATAGGATAGTTATTTAACACCAACGCTTCTTCTATCTGTTTTATTTCGTCATTCAGGTCCTTTTTTGTGCTACTTAGTGCTATGGCTCGGTTTGCCAGACACTTCACTAAGCCTGCCTTAACAGTTAACTCTTATACCATATAACGTTAACTCGTCGTATTTCCCATCTAATTGCAATGGATTGATAACACTCGTACTATTATTTCTGAATGTACATTATCTCATATTGAATTTTATTCCAATATCTAATCGATTCCACACATGTATATAAATGAAGGAAAGAAGTTGTGTGAGTAACTTGATATGATTATGAGTGGCAATAGTTTGTGCTCGAAACGTGGTCATCAGTTAATATAACTGTACTACACTGTGTGATTTATCAAAATAAAATCTTAACCATTATGGAGGAAATAGAATGTCAAACATGTGTGAGCTAAATGTGATGATTTTCTACGGTCAAAAATAGAACAGTTTGATTGACCAATGGTTAACCTAATTTCTATTCATTAACATCGACCACGAGGAAATATTTTCCGACTAAATATATCCATCCTATGGTTAAGTAGTTTTTCATGAAAATATATACTACTGTTATTTATATAAGTAGTTGGCAACCGATCATATGAAGCATGTGTGCGTTTGTCTGACAGACTGATGATCTTGAATCCACTTCAATTGGATTATCTGGTCGTAGGCATTTAACTACAGTTAGGGTGATTGGTCCTGATAAATTAATTAATGTGGGAATAAGATGGGCCTTTGCAATGCATTCGCTTGCATGTTACCACACAATAGGGTTTGGGTGGGATGAGTAGGAAGAAGCCAAGCACAGAATCTTTGTGCATCGAATCAACACCACATACGTGCAATTGTTATATATATATATATATATATATATATATATATATATATATATATATGGACATTCTGTTTGATGTTAGAGACAAAATACTTTTCACACAGTTCAATACTGCGTTGCGTTAGCAACAGGATACTATGTAGGTTTGAACATTCTATTTCATTTTGTTGTTTGATGTAAACCAAAATCACACGCTCAGTGATTGGTCAACAAATATAAACTGTAGATATATAAACAGCGGTTTGAATGATAAAAAATATACCATATCTTGCCTTCTGTTGTTACAAGTGGAAGCGTGCTGGGCCCGTAACCCACCGTGGATCGAAACCACGCTCTGACAACGACTTTGTGCATCACTGATAGTAGAATGCTCGCCAACCACGCCTCATGTGGTTCGGGGTTCGATCCCCAGCCACCAACGTACTCTTAGACCTTGCTAGGCCGGTAATAAAACCGGTAAAGAGGGAAGGTTGGGTATGAGGCTAGGAACCCCACCTTGTAAAAAAGTAAATACCACTGCTAGCCAAAACTTCAAAGCTCTAGCTTAAAGCCCTATATGTTCCACTAGAAATGTAAAGAAATACAATAATTAATTAAATGAACACATACCACATGTTCTGCTGTTGTAATATATATTTCTTTGTCATAATTGATCTGTTTTATTATGAGTGCTTATTATTTCAAAATCCAATATTCACTAAATTCTGTTCTCATTTACAATTTTAGAGTATCCTTGAAGACTGGGCAGTTATTGATCCTGCACCGTTGGAGGCATTTTTAAAACAAGGTAGCAGCAATTAAAAATCTATTCATGAAAATATATTATCATATTATAATAACTATTTCTGTTCCCTTCTTTTTTCAGGTAAAAGACCAGAAGATATTATTAAATATGATGATGAATTTGAGGCACAGGACAGTGATGAACTACTTTGAGAGAGAATTCAGTAACTTAAAATTCATAAATTATCAAAAACCAAAGTCCAAAGGAAAAGAAAAAAGAAGAAAATAAAAGCAGTGACCATCGCCGGTCGTAAATGGCCGCTGATATAAATTACTTGTAAAATGAACAATATATATTATCCCTAAAGTATTGAAAAAAACAGAATATATAACTTGTGTAAAAATTAAAAAATAAATAAACTAATGCGTAGAGTAGAAAAAGAAAGCAGCACGCCGACAATTTGGAAGTGCATAAATAGATTTTAAAACAAAGAAACGATAAATTCCACTACTTCCTTTGTCATTTTTAACAAATGTATGCCTAATAAATAATAAATAAATATTAATACAAAGCAAAACTAAAACGAAATGTGTCAGACTTTTGATCACTGTGATGGAAATATATAAAAAATTGCAAAGTCATTACAATAATAACTGCAAAGAAAGAAAAAAAACAAAATCAGAAAAATACAAATTAAAAGTAGATGTGAAAAAGATTTTCAGCTGTTTTTCGCAGGTTTGATCAAACAAACCTGTCTGCTTAGGATTGAAATAAATTTGTGTAATTACTACTTGCTATTGGCGCAGTATTGTTCAACTTTATTGAACTTTTCGACTGATTTTCTTTGATTTATCAGCTATCGGTCTTGGTTTATTATCAGCAGCTATATGGCGTTGATATAAGCTGAAAAAAGACATGAAGAGAGAATAAATGTATATCTATATATATTGATGCACGAAGAGGTCACTTTCTTCACGGATGAGGATGCCGAAACCAGTCAGAATCGGAAAGGCAAGGCAGACTTTCATCACTCTGAAATCAGTGGGGGAATCTGTTACACTCAGTCAGCATTATCAATAAAATTCGGATTTTCAACACCAAAGTTAAGTCAGCTAGTTCTTCTGTATGAGTCAGAAATTTGGCACCAGCGTCGCGAAACGCTTTTCTAAAATCCCACTGCCGACCTGTATCAACAGCTTCCTTCGCTGGCGCTATTAGAGATGGTTAGGAAGAATTAGTATCATGAAATTCTGAGAAAGAACCAGTCAAGAGACTATTGTTCAACAAATAATCCGAAGAAAATGGACATACGTCCCATACACGCTAAGGAGACAGTCGGGTGGCATCGCACGCCAGACTGCCGAACGGAACCTGAGGGGATGATGGAGGAGATGAAAGCTTATGGGCAATCGTGGGGCCACATTGGAAAGGACTGCACAGAACAGGACAAAATGGAGAGGTGCTGCTGAAGCTGTATGTTTTACCTGGAACTCAAGCGAATAATAATAATATGTAAGAATGCAGCATCGTTGGTGCAATGGCGAGACGCTCGCCAACCACACACATGGTCCAGGTTCGATTCCTGACCGAGGTATTCCTAAACTTTACTTAGTCAGCCAATAGTGAGCCTGGTAGAGAGAGGAGGTTGACCACGAGGCTAGCAAGCAACCCAACCCCATGAGGACAGCAGCACGCCCACTGAAACTTCAAAGCTCAAGCTTGAAGCGTCATGTTCCCCTCAGAACTCAAAATGAGTTTTAGAAAATGCAGCAAGTTAACAAAGGCGTCACATGCTAACTATAGTATAGATTAGTAAAAAAAACTTAGACCTTTCCGAATATGTACACGAACAGAAAACGTGAACCTCCGCTGTTCGGCGTCTCCTGATGACATTTTGTCTACCGTTGTGAAGTATTCAGGTAATGTGAATTAGCTATGGTGATTTCAACCTTGCAACTATGCTACCATCCCCAATCATACGGATGAAATACAGTGCACAAGGATGTTTTCCATCATCCTAGTATGAGGCTCTTATTGTCTGTCTATAGAAAAAGGTTTGTACTGTGCTTATGACAACGAGGCATAAAGCTGAAGTCACTAGCTTCAAAAATATTAGATGAAATCATACCTGGCTGTCACCCCGGATATCTTTTAGAACTGTTCCTAAACTTCCATCGACGACATATCTGAGAAGGAATACAGAGTCGGATCAACTCCAAACCTTACTGTTGGTTTCGAACAGTGGGGATAGATGGATGGTGGCTTGGTAGAAGTCGAAGTGAGGTCTTCTGTGATAAACTCCTCAAGACCTAACCTGTATAATAGGAAATCACAAAGTGATTTTTTTTCCATCAAACTAAAAGTGGTTATCTAATGTCATGAAAAGTAGTGGGTGTTGGTCTGTCATTTCGGTGACAGTTTTCATATAGACGTTGAAGTGTGAGCATGTGTTCATTGCATCAACGCTGTCTGAACTAAACTCAGTCTGCTTTCCATGAACTTCGTAATAGTTTGATATCATACCACAACATTGAAACATATTCAATCTTTCACACTTCTTTTAGTTAATCCACTAAATTTCTCAACTAGAATAACGTCTCTACGCTCCAAAAGAAGCAAAGATAAGGTGACAACATTTATGAACAAGAGAACAAAAAATCTTTTAAAAAAATAAGCCAGAAGTTCATTGCAATTTTAAACTTACAATTTATAAGTTTCAGATCGTATGTAGTCAAAGACATGAGAAAGTCCAACTTGTAATTGATCTTCAATTGGTGAAACCCAATCATTACCTGACAGTTTAGCCACTTGTTTAGGTCCACAAAGATCTAATACACCTTGTAGAAATTAAAAAACAATACAACGCCAATATTAGCTGAGTAATTAACTGATTAATTAGTTATACAGAATAGTGAATTATTTACAGGAAAGAAAACATTTCATAAAAAATATTGATTTTCGTGAATACAATGTAGATTAGTGGCTATAATAGAGTAACACCGAAATAGCTTTATATGCATGACTTCGTGTAAACGGTATAAGGAAGCTGAAAACTGACTGACTGGTTTCAACACAGAAGTTCGGGTTGCCTTACTCCATATGGTCCACAAAGGAAGACAGGAAAGAAAAAAAAAAGGTATTCGAAAGAACGATAGTAAGCAGAAATGTGAGGGAGGAAAAATAGTAACATCGAAAAACAATACGATTTTATTGGATATGATAAATCAGAGAGAGAGAGAGGCAAGTTGTTAATGTAATTAAGACATGCACTCCAATGAACTTCGAAACACTTGGTGTATAAGGCTAGCGATATTCAGTATCCTGCGGTAAAGTCTTCATACGGAGATAACTCTCAGAACCACTTCAAATAGGCCATGTGTGAACGACCTCGGGCAGTTGGCCCGTAAGCTTTGCGATCAGACAACAAACATTAATACTCTTTCAGTTTTAGTGGTATGAAGGTTACTGTTACCATTCGATTGTCCACGCAGTAGTAGTAAATGAACTGAAATTCGTACTTCGGATCAAGTAGCTAAAGGTTACCAGCTGAATTTAATAAGCCAAACCACGAAATTCAGTGACAAATCAGGTGTCTGGGAGAATAAATCCTCATCGTAAGCAAAATAGCCATCAGGAAATTAGACTGAGGAGACCGCTGAAAAGATACCTCTACTGAGCTTCTTCTTTTAACATCAAGTGCTCCAAATGAACTTTGGTTTACTATACACACTGATCCCTGATTGTTTTTACGTAATCGATTTGCATACTCATTTATTCCTCTTATGTTTTCCCAAACTATCCATTATGCATAGCGGTTGTACAGTTTTAGAGAATGAATTCATTAAAAAGATATTCCTGCTGAACTTTTGTTATCTCTCTAGAGGCACGATTAACAAGTTAACGTACTCTTAATATTCGATGCATGAAAAAACATTTTACTTCTAAATATCTTCGCATGTACATCCCGGTTACAACAAATAACATGAAGACAGTAGTAGAACAATTCGACAGACTTTGTTTAGGAGAAAAACTCCATGAAATTATCAAAACCTGAAATGATATTTGGTGATTGAGCGACTCGAATTCACACTCAAAACCATGGGAAACAGTAAAGATTATGGAAACATACTACTGAAAAAATGCAACAGGGAAAAATCAATTTCTTTCAAATTAACCAACAAATATGCACACATAAATTAAAATATTCAACAGATTGACGGGAGAAAAATATTCTTCTATGAAAAGGGAAGTTATCAACGATATGGCATCAACTATTGGTAGAACAAAGTGGGCGATTAACCGTTCAACAAGAGAAATAAAAGTTATCAGAAAAGAATCAGATTTCTCTGGCAGTTGATACACTAAAACCTGGATGTTATTCGTAGTGTAGAAGTAATATTAAGTGCAATAGATAAAATGACTGTTGAGCAGGTTAGAGTACAATGTGCACGGAAATTGAAACACCTGAAGAAGGCGACAAAGAAGTTATCAAAACAAGAAATGTCAGCCCTAAAAAACTGAAGGAACGACAACATGACAACTGCCAAGTCAGAGAGAGACAATTCAACAGTAGTCATGGACAGGGGGTACATCAATGAACATACTCAAACAGTTCCGTGTGAAGCGATTAAAAACTCTGCAGGCACGGATATGAATGGAATCGAAAAGTCTACAACTGATCCAATATACGTCAAATGAGGTTATCTCTGGATGAATCACAGCTGAATGCCTAAAACTAATGATCCTAGTAGTGCATGGTACTATGAAAATCTATAAAGTAGGATATCCTACTAAGTCAACAGTTGACTTTACAAACACGCTGACACGTGAGCCAAATATTAAATAATTACGTCTGACTAGAGATCGCTTAAATACTCGATTAACTAACTCACATGAAACGAAACAAAGACTAGAGGAGACGCGAACAGTAAAGGATGGAAAAATGATTAGTTTTGACCTGATAAGTCTGACTAATACAACTTTGGAAGCAGTTAGGAATGAACTGAACATCAATCCTTAAGTCACAAATAGAACAAGGTTGTTACCTGGAGAAATTATGGCAGGTATTTAACTAAGTCTGACTTCGAATGCATTCAAATTTCAAGAAAAAATATTTAAACAAACAAAAAGGGTGGCAGTGAGACCACCAGCCTCCCGAATAGTGGCGGACTTATTTATGAATGTACAACTTAGGTCGTCTAATCAGACTCCTAGGTCATAGTGGAGATACGTGGGCCACTTCAGTGCGTGTTTATAAATTACCTTGCTCCTGTGGAGCTGCCTACATTCGACTTACAAACCTACACTTTCCAAACGCATTTCAAAACATTAGGAGGATAATGCGAATCAATTACTACCTCATTTATCGACCATCTGGTGAATTCGAGTCAAGCAGCTTCGCCTGAGTCCTCTTTTAAAACCATCTAAGCATGACTTAGCTCTTTTATTTAGAGCTTAGTACCCAACAGTTAATGTGAGTAAAATTCAATAGGTAAAAACAAAGACAAGTCATGTTGGCTCAACTTACCTAATTCAGGAGGTAGTACAGCAAGGCGGTTGTTTTGAAGATGAAGCTCTTTTAATCGAGTAAGCAAACACATTTCAGCCGGTAAAGACACAAGATCATTATCCCGCAGAGCTAACTAATTTATGAAATTTAGATAAAGAGTAACACATGTTCTTACTATTTCTAAGTTCACAAGTTTTCCAATACCCGGTGGAATATGTTCGAAATCATTATCCGATAGATATAACGCCCGAAGTGTTATCAAGTTGAAAAAGTTGTCAGGCAAACTTGTCTCACGTAAGTTATTATACGTTAAATCAAGAATTTCAAGAGATGGAAATGCACCGAAACCACGAGGTAAAACTGAGAGTTTATTCATTCTTGAAGTTTCCCAAAGAAAATTATATAAATATTTAACACCTACCCAAGATTTAAGGATCGTAAGTACGTTAACTCGACAATTTTCGGAGAGATATTCTAAAAAAATACCGATACAAAAATATGTCATACCATAATGCAATTGTTAAAAAGATTTAGATGTTCTAATCCTTGTAATGTTGATATTTCCTGAGGTATTTCTAGAAAAAGAAAACAATGAATTGAAAGAATTTATTGGTAACTAACCTGTAATTTTATTATGAGCCAAAGTTAGAGAGCGTAAATGATCCAATTTCGCTGAAAATCGAAGACTGTAAACATGCAAAACACATTCACCTACCAAGTTCTGGGATATATGGTATTGAAGTTAGATCTTTTCGAATCGCTTCCAATGCATGCTCTTTTCCTTCACGTACATCTTCAATTCCTTTGCGAAAATTTTTTAGTCTGCCAGATATCATTTTATATCAAGTATATAAACTAGTATGATCCACGCATAATAAAAGTCTATAAAACAAAAAACAACAGAATATGATAAAGAGAAATCGTTACAGACAATATCATTTTATCTGGGTAAGATAGATACTTGATATAAAATACACGTGCAGAACTGTTTTCAAAGTCTTAACACATGCAGCCACGACACCATAGATGCAGAGCAAACTTTATTATTGAAACAAACTTGCTACAATATGGCCTCCAAGAGATGCATCACGCATAAACGATAAAACGAATATGAGAAAAAGAGGGACATCATTCAGAGAATAGTTTATCACCTTATATAACCTTCAAAAAAGGAAGAAGGGGAGAGATCACAGCATTTTTACCACCAATTAAAACTCTTGGCCATATCTAATAATGTCCCCGAGCCGCGGACTCGAATCCTCCCATAGATACTATTAAGGGAGTAGTGATGCACCAGCGGATGCTAACCTAACACAAATATCCTTCACCCCACGGTGCCAAGTCATATGCTCACCACTCTTGCCTTACCCACTCAGTGCCAGCATTAGCAAACAACGAGTGACATGGGAGACATTGGAATAACACTCATAGCACAAGTTCCAGACGCCGAAGCCAGCGTTCTAAGACATATACCGTGTCTAAATACACGCCGCTGCATCTCCGATGCAAGTTATTATACAGAGGCAGCAATGATAGATTGTGCAGAGTCCCCGCACATCCTCAGCTTGGACACCAGATTTTACAGGCGTAGAGCAAGACTACGCACACCGGGGCATTGTTAACCCGACCTTTGATAGCCAGGTTGACCACGTGACAGCGCTACAAGAGGTCCAAGTTGGCATATGCCGTCCTGGATTTTAATTAACGGCTAGCAATTTCATCAGTAACACCTTTTCCGGCACTCATACAATTACCTAAATACATGAATTTACCGACAACAGCAAGCAGTTTTCCTGAAAGGGTAAGTGAAGGTACGGGCTCCTGCTAATCTTACAACAAAACTTAGGACTTGGACGGTTCAAAGCACACACTTCACTTACAGATATTGATCCCTAATAGATAAAGTGCGATTTCGACGGCCTGCACATTAACGTACAGTAACGCAACATTGTCTGCATACTCGAGGTTGATAAGCCTCCGGGAAGCAGACCTGAACGACAATCACCAACACGTACGTTCTTCATAGCTATCTTTATAGTATCATCGGTAGTAAAACTAATGAGAAATGGTGCGAATGGGCAACTCTGTCCAACTCCAGTGTTGTTTGAGAACAGTGGTGTTCTTATTCTACCTGAGGTGTTTCTGTCATGATGTTAAAAAAATACCAAGTTAATAAAATGACTGCTTCATTCCATATGACATTATATTGAAATCTCATCTCATTAAGCAAGAACGTTACTTCGAGAGTCGATAAGTCAGCAAATGCGAAAGAACACTGAACTTTTCAGTTTATCGCCGAAATTGATTTATAGAGGAACAAGAGAGTACGCTACTGGTCCCGTCTCCAAATCAAGTAGACGACTAGTATTATCATCATTAGGTTGCATTTGGAATATGAGAGTAATTCGTGATATTATGTTGGAAAGGTGAGAAGTGCACACAATGGAAATTCGTTCTACGAAGACGTGACGTATATTGGAAGTGTTATAACACGGATTTGTGCCACATCTGTTCAAAATCAACAACTTATTCCAAATCTTACCTACTTGAATCATGTGAATCCTCTGAATAGGTTGAACGACGTTAATTTCGACATATTTAGGTTATGAAGAATGGTAGGCTCCTGTAGTCTACGTCAATTCTTAAAATGTGTATATCAGAGGTATAATTCTTCATTGAAAGCGACTACAGACGGACTCGAACACACAACCGAGCAGATGGGCTGAATCCACGCGTATATGAATATCAATACAGGTAACACAATAACGTCAACAAAAAACGGCCATGCAAAAACACTGCTTCATATTTTGACATCTGCTGTATAAATGACACAGCTATATATAAATATTTTGCTTAAAAACAAGACAATTGCTTTGCGATTTGATAGTATGAGCAAAGTACATCTACTGACATTTTTAAATACAAATCAATTGAGAAATACCCCACTCAACTTAACTACACCTGAAATATCCGCCGAAAGGACGCACTTGAATGACCCGGACTTTAATGTTAGGATTTTGACTTGTTCTATTAATTTTCGAATGACGTTCGTCCACTTCATCTTCGACCCTAAATGGAACAGTTCAAGACTTGGATATAACTTTTTCCTGGATTTAATGCCAAAAGTTATTAAGCACGTCTCAAAAAGTATTATGGAAATTTTACGTTCCAATATCCAATATCCTGATTACGAGCTAGTATAAACCAGTGATTTCTTTGAGCTCGCTTCTTCATTGTAAGGTAGAGGTTCCAGATCTTCGGTGAACTTATGCGTAGTAAATCCCGCCACTCGACTGCTTTAGCTCTGGTAGACTCCAAGAGGAGTGGTGCGAGGATTGGTCAAGATTGTGGTTTGTAGTGTGCAGTATGTTAGGACTCAGCTGCTGCCGTGAATGGAGTTTGACCTAACACCCGTTGGTCATTCGGTATACTCATAAAAGTAGAATAGTAATAATAATAATAGGTTGTAGTGTATATAATATAGGTTGGGATAAGTGAAATAATAAAGGTGAAATAATAAAGAAAGAAAGAAAAGATAGAGTAGTCGGTACAGTGGGAGAAGACAGGACGGGTCGTGGGGATTTAGCTTGTATGCTTATCCATTGACAATGTGGTTTCAAATTTTAAGAGGGTAAGCCATTGAGACACAAACCATGCATTTCTGCATGATTGTCCAGCTTCCGCTTGAAAGTCTCCACAGATGGAGCTGTAGTTACGGCCGCCGGTAAAGCGTTCCAGAGACGGCAAACTCGAAGCGAGAAGAAATGTGAACGCACTCGAGTCCTTGGTCTCTGGTGTGCTATCCTTAGCGGGTTACCTCGTGGAAGCCTATAATCATTTAATGGCAGGATGCTCTTACTAGGGTGGGCCTGGTCATTTAAGATCTTATAGACGGTTATGAGGTCTCCCCTGTGACTACGGTAACTAAGTGTGAAAAGAATTAATTTCTTCAGTCTCTCCTCATATGATTTGTTGCGGAGGCCGATCACCCATTTTGTCGCTCGTCCCTGGACACTTTCTAGCATGTTAGCATCCCTTTTGAGTAGCGGAGGAGCAATGATATTATGCACCTCAAGGAGTGGCCTCACGTATGTCGCATACAACGTTAGGAATAGTTCAGGAGTAAGAGCTCCCAGCTGCCTATGCATAAAGTGTAAAGTGGCGTAAGCTTTGGCGACGTCCCTCGTGTAATTTACACTGGTGTCTAGCTTTTCTGTTAAAATAAGGCCTAGATCGCGTTCTGATGGCACACAACTCAAGTTCTGGCCACCAAGGGTGTGATTTGCACTCTGTGACCTGCCGGAATGAAGTTGCACTACTTTGCACTTCTTTAAGTTGAAAGGCATTCCGTTAGCCAGGGCCCAGTCTCCTAGAGTTTGCAGTTCAGCCTGCAATCTGTCGGAGTCTTCCGATGAGTTTATTGCTCTCCAAATTTTTACGTCGTCAGCGTAAAGAAGCGCAGAGCAATTCAGTTGACAGGGCAGGTCGTTGATAAAAATCAAAAACATCAACGGCCCTAAAATAGAACCCTGAGGAACCCCTGTTGCCGAGGTGTGCCAGGATGATCGGATGCGGTTGACTTTGCTGCAGAATTCTCTCTCGCCTAAATAATCTTCCAGCCATGCAAGAAGTGCTCCAGAAACACCCGCTTTGCTTATTTTGTGAAGGAGCAGACCATGGTGAACTGTGTCGAATGCTTTCGCAAAGTCGAGAAAGATCACATGGACTGGTACCTTTACATCCCAGGATAGTGTCCAATCGTTCCAAGCTAGTAGAAGATTCGTCACACAGGATCTTCCCCTCCTGAAACCGTGCTGTGCTTCATGGAGTAGGTTAGTCCCGTCGAAGTATTTTCTCATGTGGTCGTCAATGAGGCTTTCCAATATCTTCGATATCACTGGGAGTAGCGCAACTGGTCTGTAACTGGTCGCGTTCTGCCTGTCACCACCCTTGAAGATAGGGGATAGAATGGCTCGTTTCCATTCACATGGAAGTTTTCCTACATCAAAGGAGTGTTCAAACAGATCACTTAGGGGTTGGCAGAGACTTTCTGAACACTGCTTCAGGACGGATGGTCTTATGTCATCGCAACCTGCAGACTTTCCCGAAGCCAACTTTCCCAATTTTACGAGTACCATAGCCGGGGTAATTTGAAATGTACCCAGCAGGTTTTCGCACGTTGGTCTTGCATTGTAACCTTGATGTTTTGTGGGGGTAAAATCCTCATTACTGTTCAGTTGCCTGTGAAAGGCTAGACTGAATGTCTCTGCCATTTCAAGACTAGTAAGAGATTTCCCATCAGAACCCACTAGATTGCAAGCTCCCTTGTTGGTCGGTTTTCTTTCAGACATAAACCTGTATAGGCTTTTGGGGTTCACGAGAAGCTTATTGGCGAGGTTTCTCTGAAATGTCCTTCTATCACTCCGGACTTGTATGTTACACCGATTCCTGAGTTCAAGGTACACTTCATGTTCGGGTTGACTCATCGATACTCGCCACGCAAACCAGGCTTTTCGCTTCGCCTGTAGAAGGCGTTGTGTCCCCCATTTTTTCCCTGAACGTTGCTTTCTAGCTTTAGGTGTGACTAAAGGAACAGTGTCTGAGACCGCCTGGTGAATGATCTCCTTAACCACTCCCCAGTGTTCTTCTACTGTAAGCTCTGTCCAATTTTTTGGCCACTTTGCTTCAGACAAAAGTCTTCGCATTTCGGTGTAATTGGCTTTGTTATAACACAGATAGGGCTGTGCATTGTCCCACTGTAAACGCTCGCGGAGGACTATGTCGAATGTTATGACCGCGTGGTCACTACTACCTATGGGAGTCGTGATCTGAACGT